AGAAGGAGATTTGGAAGTTGGTACGAAGGTCGAGCTATCTGCAGTCGCGTTCTCGATTGGGTGGTCGAGCGCCATCTTTGATGGAGAAGGAGTCGGAGAGGCTGGAATGACGGAGGAGATACCTGAAGCGACGATCTCGATTGGGTTGCTAAGAGCTAGCTTCGCGGAAGAAAATGACGGAGGAACCAATAGAGTGGACGAGTCATCTGGAATTGTGTTTTGACTTCGGTCGCCCAGAGCTTGCTTCGTTGGGAAAGGAGGACGACGACCCAATGAGCCTCTGGTGGATGCGGTCATTGCAGGTGGCTGTACGACACGCTTTGGTGAGGTGCGAGAAAGACGTTGCATTGAGGTTGATATGAAGATCCGTATCGAAGATGGTGTTGGAAGGTGGAGAAAGGTTGGGAGACCGATGCAGGTTTATTCTTAAATATTCGAGAGGGAAAGAGCTTTTGCTCGCTTAAACGGGGCAGACCAAAAATTTACAAACAAACAAAAAAATAAAAGCGAAACCGGAGGATAAGTAGGGGAAAAACCTAGGATCAAAATGCTAAAACCGATCCTCCTCGAGGTAGGGGGACAACCAGACGAACTGAGTTGATATTTCTAAAGCTCTTTGGCACAACCAGACGGACTGATAGTTGTTCATAAAGCTCTATGGCACAACCAGACGAACTGAGTTGTTGCAACCCTCAGCCCTCCTGTACTGATTAGAAACTAGAGGTGACAGGAAGACCTTGTGGATTCGTGCATAGTTTAGCCACATTTCGGTGGATGTGGGAGGTGGGGTTGGGGTAGCTGGGGAGCGAGGGGTTGTTTGTTAGTTAAACGCAGTTGCAGAGGGTTGGTTTGAACTTTCAGGCGGAGAGGTGGAGGTGATTTGTGAAGAAGAAATGCTTATTTTGGTATATATCGGTAAGTGACTTCGTGGCAGATGTTCGGCTTCTCTTGAAGCGAAGTCTGCATCAGCGCACTTTTTCATGACATGAAGCAGTGGATATCTCATCGTGTAGCTTGACCGGGCAGTTTTCACCTTGTTGCAATGAAGGGGAGGAATACGAAAACACTGAGGGTATGCTTGCGCAAAGAAATAACGCGCAAGTAAAACTACCAGCAAAGCACGGTTTCTGAAAGCAGGTGAGAGGACTTTTGATGTTGAGAGTAAGGTGGAAGCCTTGATCCCATTGAGGCTTGATCGATGTAAAGGTCTCTAACGAAATTGACACTCTAATTGGCATCAAGAGAAGACGATTCAAGTGTATCAAGCAGAGCGATGAAGAGCTGGATCTTTGGTAGCAAACCTAGAGAATTGTCTCTTCCATACGTTGAGTTATTTTGGTACTTCTAGGACCTGAACGTAGCAAGAAACGCAAGACACCACGCACATGCAAGGCGCCTGACCAGAAATACGTCACGTAAACGTAGCACAGAAAGGAGCGAAACAGAACATCATTTTGCAAGGCCGCTCTACTTATGGTTGATCACGCACTCGCGTGCAACACAGTGTTGTTGCAAACAATCGATTGATCGAGCTGAATGCAACTTCGAAGAGAGGAGAGAGAAGAGAAGAAGCTCAAGGATCGTCCAACCTTAAATACAGCGCCAAGGCCCTCAAGCTCCCCTAGCGATTCGCTACCAAGCCTGAAGCTGCAGCTACCCCTCTCGATAAGATAAGAGCTCCTTTGCATACCATTACCAGCCATCACGTCATCTGGTTACTCAGCTGCATACATTGCTGCATACATAGCCCCTCCTCCTTTTCCTATTCTCTTCAACTCTCTCCTTCTATTTTCTTTTCAATTGTCTACAGCAAGTTCACAATGCCAAACGTCCTAATCATAGGCGCAACCCGTGGTCTCGGCGCGAGCCTTGCCAATCAATATGCCTCCCACCCCTCAACAACAGTCTACGGCACGACCCGCTCCGCAGAGGCACCGAAAGGCAAAGGACATCATGAAGGGATCAAGTGGGCCAAGGGGATCGATCTCAACGAGAAAGAGGCGGGAAAAAAGCTGGTTGAGGAGTTGAGGAAGATTGGGGTAGATGGAGGATTGGACGTTGTGGTGAGTTGTGCATCAATTTAAGATAGAGATGGAAGTTAATCGGCAATTGGCAGATCATAACAGCAGGCTACTTCGCAACAGAAGATTTCGAATCCGGTCCAAAATGGGAGGAAGAAGTCCGGATGTAGTACGTCTCCCTCCTCAGCTGCCTCTCTGTAACGCCCCAAGCCTAACTTTTCCCAGCACAACATCCTCAATCGCACCCCCGTTCCTAATCCATGCGCTCTCCACCTCCTCCCTTCTCCCCTCGGGCTCGAAGATACTCCTCGTCTCCTCGGAATCCGGCTCTATCACCCTGCGTCATGAAAAAGAAGGAGGAGGGAATTATGCACATCATGCGAGTAAGAGCGCGCTGAATATGGTGGGGAAATTGTTGAGTTTGGATTTGAAGGATAAGGGCGTGGTGGTTAGTATTGTGCACCCGGGATTTATGAGGACGGAGATGACGAAGGGCGTGGGGTTTGATAAGTATTGGGATGATGGGGGTGGTGAGTTCCCTTCTGACGGTAGAGAGCGAGCTAACGAAGGGTGACTTAGCTGTTACGCCAGATGAGGCGGCGAAGAGTTTGATTGAGTGGACTGAGAAGCTGGATATAAGCAAGACGGGCCAGTATTGGGCACCTAGAGGACCGAGTGAGTTCTCCTTAAAGACCACAAAGAGCTTCCCCTAACCGTCTTGATAGGGGATATCGGCACAGCAGACGTAACAATAGGGACGGATCTGCCTACACCACTGCACCTACCTTGGTAATCCCTCACAAAACAGTGGAAACAAAATTTGTTCACAAAAAGCTTCAATTGCTTGACTTTTCTGCTCCTACTCATTCATTATTCTTCGTATTATTAACAGCCAGAATATAATCCAGCTTCCCCTCATAGGGTATCACACCATATCCAAATCAGGTCAGAATATCAGACTGAAAGGTATCCATTCATCCACCACCCCAATCCATGCAACTCCCCCTCTCCATTAATTAACTTTTCATTCTCGAATCACGGCTTTTTCTCGGCAGAAATCCCTACAAAGCAGCAACTACTCCCAACATGCCCACGATGCCCCCAATCCCCGCCATCAACGCTGGCGCACCCGCCTTGCTCGAAGTCGTGGCTGGTGTGACGCCAGTAAATGTGCCCGTGCCCAGCACTGCCAAGCTCGTCGTCGCAGCAGTAACCGTCGACTTCTTAGTTGAGGTCGTCTTGGCAACAGTCGAGGAGTTCCTGAACCCGGTAGAAGTTGTGAGGGTCGTGTTCAGAGCAGTAGTCAGGGCAGTGGTCAGGGCGGTGTTAGTGGCAGTCGCAGTGGCGGAATAGGACTTGCACAGGTTGGTGCCGACGGTCAAGGCGATTTGTAGGTCTGTCGCGTTGCAGGCGGCAATTAGGCAGGGGCCCACGACGGCGGGTGACAGTCCACATTGGCAGGAGACGTCGGTGGGCGCGCAGCTGGCGGCGGCGATGGCAGAGATGAGGCAGGATGTCTGTTTGGTTATTAGTTGGGGGAAAATTGAAATAGGGTTGTGGGGGAAAGGGGGGACGTACAGCGCACTTTGGCTCGCCGTCCAGGTTCTGTGCGGATACCAAGCTGAAGACAGCTGTGATTGCGAGAATGGAGAACTTCATTTTGTCGTGATGTACGTGAACGATTGATGGGCAAAGAACTGAGTTGATTTCGCGTGGAGTTGATTAACGACGGTAGACGCGTAGTGAGTGAATGCAGAATGGGAGCTGAGGGCGAGCTGGGCTTTTTGTATGCGGGATGTGCTTTTTTTGGTGGCTCCATCTAGACGCAGCTGTTGGTCGTGCGGGGAAAGACAGGCGCCAGGGGTGACGCTGGAAGCCCACGCGATTGGGCATGAGCTGGCTAATTTGGACCCCTGGATTCATGTGGAAACCATTTATTGGGCGCCACGAGATGTGATCTCAATTTGTTTCATTGCTTGTGCTCCTGGACGCTTTTGAGATTGGATGGAGAATTCTACGGCAGTGGGGATGAGGGTTTGCATGCTTTTCAAGCTTCGAGTATCTGCAGATACCAAAAATCGAAGTTTTGAGATACACATCAGTAGCCGGGAGCCGAGAGCATTCCAGTTCCCTGCCAACTTTCAGCTTGTGGCCACTAAAACCTTCAAGCTTCCTAGCTCCGAAACTTTGCAGATGTCTTGAAAGTCATACGAGATGAGCCTCAGGATGCTCTTTATCTATATTAGGAGATCTGCGTTGTTCTTTTCCCTTAGGGCGATGCGGTTGTTCTTCTCGGAGGCTAAATGATTCTCACGTGGTGGCTCTAGGGGATCCTCGCTCAGGTCCTACAATTTTCGCCCCTTATGTCCCAATTAAGAGTACCGCAAGTTGTAATGAGGTGACGCAGGGAAATGAAGCGGAAGGTTACCCGGTGATGCCTCGTTTGAGACATACTAATGTTACAACGATAGGTACTTAGTACTTATTCTTGATCACGTGAGCTGCTAATGAAATGAAAAAATCTTCTCAGATCAATATTTCATTCAGCTTACCATAAGGGCCTGGAATCTGTGTCGTTACAAATGAAAACCATCCTGTCTATTGTGTGGTTATGTAGATGGGACTTGGCTTTCCCTGTAATTGGCTTTTCGTTTGCTCCCACAGGCTGTTTTTAAGTCAATAATTTCTAATATAATAGTACATTTTTCGCCGTTGTACAGATTTAAAAGACTAGAGGTGTTAGGACAAACTCAGTCTCAGGCAGAGGGTTTTCCCCCTCCAATTGTACAAGTGAAGAAAGAGCTTCAGAAGGGAAAGAGTAGGGATAGGTCAATTCGGTTAATACTTCCTCCCCTTTCCGTCAAACCACAACAATCAAAGGGTCTAAGGATACATGAACGTCTAGAAACAGTCTCAGTCACATCATCTAGTCTCCATCAAGTGGAAACAGCCAAAAAAGTATCAACAAACAAAAGCCAATGCGTTAGGTGGGGTTCGAACCCACGTCTCCTGCTTTCAATGTCACCTGTAACCACTCTAAAGCATTACAATTGGGAAGCAGACCAGTTAACCACTACTACACTAACGCCACTAAGACTTCTTTTGCCAATTTTGTCTTATTTGAATACATAAAGGTGACTGTTCACGGTAAATGGTAAACAGAATGGAAGTGATGCAAGTTCCCGGTTACGGGATGAAAATGCCCCACTTTTATCTGATAAGCGGACGCTAAGATAAGGATCAGGCTGGATTTTTCTTCTCAGCAGCGAGCAGGAGTGAATAAAGCAAAGAGAAATCATGTTTAGAGATGAGGATCAGTTTCCGACCTACACGAATACAGTCATGGAGGAGATTCAGAGTGATGAGGTGACAGAGCATGAGCAACGATACGCCAATGATGACTTTGACGATGTCTTCGGCTCTGCCCCTCCTTCTCCCACCTTCTCGCACGATGACACACACACAAACCACGATACTCGGATACGAAGCGGAAATCTCGAACCTTCGGATATTCCACGATTGAAGGAGAAGCATGAGACTGAGGGATACAGAGATGGCGTCACGAAGGGCAAGGCGGAGAGCGTGCAGAAGGGGTTTGATGAGGGGTATTCTCTTGGAGCATTGTTGGGGCTGAGGATTGGGAAAATTCTTGGACTGCTGGAGGGCATTTGCGGAGCACTGAAAGGTGGCGGAGAGGTTTATAAAGCTGAGGCAGGAAGGCTGGAGAAGTTTTGGGGAGAGGCGAAAAAAGAATTAGGCACAAAGAGTGTTTTTGGAAGAGAATGGTGGGGGGAAGACGGAGTTTGGAAGTTTGAGGTTCCTGGGGAGGGGGATGGGAAGGAGGTTCTATTTCCGGACGTTGCGGGAGCGCATCCATTGATTGTTAAATGGGAGAAGGTTATTGAGGAGGAGGTCAAGAGATGGGGGTTGGATTTGGGAATTATGGAGGGGGAGCACGAGGAGGATCATATGGAAGAGGAGAAGAGTAGGCAAGAGCCGCCAAAGAACAATCACACTGCAGAAGTCAACGAAAATACGGAAGGGTTGGCGAAGGTTATGGGAGTTGCCAAGAAGGATTTGAATTGGTGATCAAGAAGAAAGATGCTGAAGAGAGCCCTTTTCAACAGCACCAGAGTAGGAACACTTGCCAGCTTCAGGAACATGATGGGACGAAGCGTGCCTGTCAACAATTTACAATTGAGGTGCGGTCACTCTCGAATCAAAAGTACAGGATCCTCCACCGCCACTTGACTATGCCCTGGGAACGGCTTCCGGCAGCTGCCGAGAGACGAAATATTATGTGAGCTTCCGAGTCGGCAATGGTCAATTCAATGCAGCCTCGTTCGAAGGGGTTCCCAATCTTGGCGGCATGCTGGGCGACCAAGTCATTCTGTAACCAGGCAACTTGCGTCGAGGACAACTCAACAGAATCACTTTTCTGCAAATCTCAAACAATTCGAATCAGATAGCAAGACGATCACCAACGTTGTCGTATTGATTGGTGCCACGAGCTTCTTGGCTGACCCCTTTTCTTTTTTTGTTCCCGAGGCAACTAGCTAAACGAGTGCTGAGCGCATCGACTGCAGCGTGTACCTGCATGCGGTGCTGATCGCTCAGAATAAGAAAAATTGAAGAGTTGGCGTGAGAACCAGGAAATCGAATACGAGGTAAAAATGTAGAAAGTATTCATGAGATCCTGATATTCTCACATCGTGCCTTCCTCCATCAAAAGTTGAGATCGTGCCTTCCCTGCCAGCCAAAAACGGTAGAACATCAACAATTCCAACCGACCCTCAATTCTCTTCTCCAACATCACAATTCGCATCCTTATCCCTCACATCCATTGCAAGATTCACTCCTGACCATCGAATCTTGCATTCCTATCCTTACTCCTGCGATTCTTTACACTCAACTCCTAGGAAAAAGCATTTCTTTGCTCGCGAAGTACGACCAGTCACGGCGTCGCGTTTGCACGCTGCCCTTCGAATCAACGTGAGTCGTTTTGTCTCACTTTCAGCTCTCCCCACATCTATCAATAGCACAACTGCGGCTCCCCAGTCAACCACGATGCGGACTTCGTATAGGCACCATGACACAATGGGGCGATGCGCCACGGTTGCTGTGCTGTACAAAATACAGAATTCACTCTTGCCCATCGCAATTCCCGCCTTTCTCTTGTTCTTTCGAACAAAAATTGTTCAACGGACATCAATTGACAATTCTTAGTACCTCTAGAAAAAATGAAGGCTTTAGGTATTCTCCTAGGCCTTGCGGCTACCTCTTCCGCCAATATAATCTTCACTCACGTCGAACTGGTCTGCTTCAATGATACGAATAAGATGTACAAGGGGTGTCTTCGTGGGCAAGACTGCAATTCCCATAACGAGTAAATATTGCAAATAAAAAAATCCAAACCTGGCTTCTGCTGACCATAATGTAGATGCGTACCGACTGAACGTTCACTCCCATCAGAGCTTCGAGACCTTCAAGACAGACAGACTTCACCGTTTTCTACTGACGGCACGTGTGGTCCAGCGCATGGCGGTACAATTTGTGACCCGAACAGCACCGTGTATACTGGTGGATGCTGCTCACAGTCCGTGGAAGTCCCTTTTGGTTAATCAGACAGCGCTGACATTGGAATACAGATATGGCTGGTGCGGGAATACTCCTGACTACTGCGGCACTGGTTGTATTTCTGGTTGCACGCAAAGTTCTACTGCTGGCTCTGGTGGAGTCAATGTTGGCGCCGTGGCACCAAGCACGACTACGACCCAAGAGCCAGTTATTGGGGGGTTGTCGACGACCATGGAACCTGGCGCTGCCGCGACTGGCGCGGTGACGACTGATGGTTAGTCTTGCTCGCTGAATGAAGATGTTCTTCGACTGCTGCCCCTTTGAGCACTGCTAATCCGTTCGGATCTAGGTACTTGCGGAGCTGGAAATGGAAACACCGTTTGCGGGAACTGGCCAAATGGTAATTGCTGCAGTATGTATGGATTCTGGTAAGATACTACTCCCTCCATTATACCACTTCCGTTCTGACAATCTTTTCCAAGCGGTAATACGGCTGCCCACTGCGGAGCTGGTTGCCAATCCGGTAGCTGCTTGAGTGCCCCAGCTGTTCCTGCTCCTGGTCCTGCACCGGCGCCAGCTGCACCAAATGGTGGCTCGTTCAATATTGTCGGTCTATCCGGAGTTCCTGCAATGCACGCTGCACTTATGCCGAACGGTCGAGTCATGTTCCTTGACAAGTAAGTACAATCGCGTCTGTTCAATCCGCTTCCAGGACATTTTCATAGCGTTTGCCTTCACGAATGTCTCGCGAAACGTGCATTTTTCTTTAAAGATGTCCCTCGTTTATTGTTCAGCCTGCTCCCGGGACAATATAAAATGGAAAGCGCTAACTCGCCTCAGGTTGGAAAACTATACCCAATTACGCACGGCGGATGGCTACTATGCCATGTCCTCCGAGTACGACCCAGCGAAAAACACACCTGTCCCTCTTGCTTATTTGACAAATGCCTTCTGCTCTGGTGGCACCTTCCTTGCAGACGGTCGAGTCATTTCCGTTGGAGGTAATGCTCCATTGACCTGGCTGGACCCGAACATTGGGGACGGCTTTACGGCCATTCGGTATCTCCAAAGATCATCAACAGATGCCACTCTGAACGGCCAAGATTGGAAAGAACCTGGTAATAAGCTCGCCAGCGCTCGTTGGTATGCAACTGCCCAGACGCTGCCCGATGGTACCATATTCGTTGCATCTGGAAGTTTGAACGGTCTCAACCCGACGGTTCTTTCGAACAACAATCCGACATACGAGATTCTGAGCCCGCTTGCTGTGACTCAAGGCCAGAGCATTCCAATGGACATCTTGGCAAAGAACCAGCCATATTACATGTACCCGTTCATTCACCTTCTCAATGATGGTACATTGTTCGTTTTCGTCTCCAAGGCTTCTCAGGTGTTCAACGTTGGTACCAATACAATTGTCAAGGAATTGCCCGATCTCCCGGGAGACTATCGTACATATCCCAACACTGGTGGCAGCGTACTGTTGCCGCTTTCAAGTGCCAACAAATGTAAGTTACTCACATAATGTCTCAATTTCCCCGGAACAATCTATTCGGGCAATTGTCCCCAGTCCTTGAGGAACAGCTGAAACCAAGCAATGAATCTTAGTTTCTTGGGACATCGAGCAATTGCTAACATTCACTAGGGAATCCAGACATTATAATCTGCGGTGGAGGCGCATATCAAGATATCACCAGCCCAACGGATCCCAGCTGCGGGCGCATCCAGCCACTTGCTGCCAATCCTGAATGGGAGATGGACGCAATGCCCGAAGGACGTGGCATGGTTGAAGGTACCCTGCTCCCAGATGGAACTGTCATTTGGCTCAACGGTGGCAACAAGGGCGCTCAAGGATTCGGACTCATGGCAGATCCAACTCTGGAAGCTCTCTTGTACGACCCAACCAAGCCACTTGGTCAACGATGGTCAACGCTCGCGAGCTCCACAATTGCGCGACTCTATCACTCCGTTGCGCTTCTCCTGCTAGATGGAACACTCATGGTGGCCGGCTCCAATCCCGTCGAGATGCCCGTCCTTCAAGCGTCTGCAGCGAATCCATATGTCACCGAATTTCGGGTAGAGAACTATGTTCCTCCGTATCTCCAGGGGGACAGAGCCAACCAACGGCCGACAGACATTGTCCTTTCTTCAACCACGATTACTGCAAATGGTGGTCAATTCACAGTCTCGTTCCAGATAGTTCCAAATGCAAAGGCTGTGGAGGTTGTGTTCTATCACGGGTAAGTGACACCTTCGTTGGCTTTGGATCTCATGCTGATAATTGCTAGTGGATTCGTTACTCACTCCGTCCATATGGGCCATCGAATGATCAACTTGGACGTGGCAGGTTGGGTTCCAGGTGGAACGAATCAGAAGTTGACCGTGACTGGCCCACCGAATAACAACGTTGCTCCCCCAGGACCGTACGTGGTTTATGTACTGGTTGATGGGACTCCTGGAATTGGACAGTTTGTTCAGGTTGTATGAGCTGTGGGGAGGAACAATTGGTCG